TCATATGTGGTGGTCCTGCTCCAAGACAAAAAAGTTTTGGACAAAAATACGAAACTGGCTACGAGAAATAGTGGAAGAAGATATAGAATTTTCCCCTGAAATCTTATTAGGAATGATGGGAGATGGACTTTCTAAAGATAAGATACATCTTATAATACATGTCATAACAGCGGCCAGGTTAATCTTTGCAAAATACTGGAAGGACAAACAAACCCCTCCAGAGGTGATAATAATAAACAAAATTCTAGAATGTGCAGAAATGGCAAAATTAACAAGTGCTCTTAACGACGATACAAATTCAAAATTCAAGGCAGTATGGGAAAGGTGGTACAAATGGTGGAATAATAGAATGAGATTGTAAGGATATGTCTATTTTCAATAATGGTAGATTCGAAGATATTTGATATGTATATAATGTATATAACATATATATGTAATTACACAACACCTCTCATGTTAATAGAGATTGATGTTTTCTTTTTTAATTTTTTTTTTAAAACCAATAAAGTATATTTTAAAAAAAAAGTGTTTTTCTTCTGCTCCTATTATTTAGTCTTTTCTTCAATAAATGTAATGCCCAAATATAAAACCTGGATGTATTTAACACTGCTCAATTTGAAGGATTTGACTTTCAATAAGAATTATATTACAGAAAGCTGGAACTTGTACTTACTTAGAATTTCCTTCTGCAAACTCTTAAATCTTTCCTTCAAAAATCCCCTTTCCTTCCCACTTTGTAAAAATCCTTGGCTCATTTACTAATCAGCTCAGGCTATTATGCAATACTGATTGGTATCAATGATGGATAAAATATCACAACTCAGGAAATCTTTCAATAATGACTGAACATATTTTGCAACAGAATTTTCAAATACTATATAGGCAGTCTTTGACTTAGGACTGATTGTTTAGTGATCAAAGTTATGACAGACCCTCCAAAAGCTACTTATGACCTGGTTCTTAAGTTCTGACAGCAAGCCCCCACCCCCCAAATCATGTAACTGCACAAAAATGTAAATCACACAACCATGATTTACATTTTTGCAAAAACATTCCAGTTTGGGGCAAAAACACCCCATAGTGAACAATGGGTTTGCTTAACATTCATGGTGATTCGCATAACAACTGCAATAAAAAATGCTGTAAAATTAAGTGAGTCACTTGGGTGACCTGCTTTAGGACTGTCATGATTTATGACCATAATGGGCATAATGTTTGTAAGTCAAAGACTACCTGTATGTCACTTTTTTCCATTGTTAAAATGAATGTAAATATATATTTATTGAGAAATTAAAACGAGGCAAACAAAAATGCTTCCAGTTTTTGTTGCATCCATCCTGATTATCAAACCTCTCTCTTTCATCTTTATCTTTGCACTCTTGATTCTATTTTTGGTCACGTATATGTGAAGCCACCAGATCTAAGCTGCAAAAATCCAGATGCTCCCTTAGCAAAGATCTAGTAGATATCTGGTTTTTCATAGACCAGATTTGATATACTATATAACTGAATGTTGAGAATATATAGCAGATAAGCAGCAAGCTCGATAAGAGCTTATTTCCATACTGGCTTTGTTCAAATGATACACTTGCCCTAACTGCACAGTTAGCCTAATTAAAAAGCATACAGAACATAAACTGGATTGGATTCACAGATACCAGTCAATAAAGCTAATTTAAAGCTAAACTTAATAAAGCTATGTCCTTAAAAAAACAGCTAGCAGGTAAATTTATATCACCTCCTAGCCTGAGTACAATTACACGTTACTTTTTCTTTTAGTACCCTCTTGCTAGTGTTAAATGGAACCTACGTCTTTAAATTCAAAACTTTATTTCAGAAGTTTAAATCGACTATATTATATTTGTAAAGTTTCAGACAGATGTGAATATGTTAATAATACAATGAATTATCTAGAAAGCTCCTCAACTCTACTTTGATTATTCTGAATTGTTAAATAACAAATGATCAAAGGGTAAGAATTGGTTAACTTCTTTAAATGTCTGAAATGTGTGTGTACACACACACACACACACACACACACAATTTGACAGTGACATGATTCATAAATCATGCTGAACTGAACTATAATACTCTTAAATTTGGTTTAGCCAAGTTACTTTTTATAAACCATGGTTATACAAACCATAGCTTATTGAAACATGTGAACCCGCATGAATAGTAGTATATGTTTTTTTATAAAAGCAGGTAACAGATGTTTCCTATTTTAATAGTGTTCCCTACATGAAAACTTGCTTAACATAAACTGAGACTTTATTTTTAGCTGATTGTTATGGAGAAAACAGGAGACAGGAGTATTACAAATATTCACTGCTTTGAATTATATATAAAAAGATGAGGATAATGATAATAATCTTTAAAACAATCTTCAGGAGGCACAAATTCCAGAAGAAAATACTGTCTCAAAAAAACCTTTCTTTGGAAATAGTCTTGGCAGCGACAATGATATCAATCATTAGAAATGATAAAATTATTCCTTTATTAAAGACATTTAAAATATGATCTCTTTGTTTTGTAAAAATTAAACTGCACTTAAGAATATTATTTTCCTCTCAAAAAATCTTAGATGAACAGCTATGCTTATTTTATTTAGAAACCCAGCTGTGGCTAACATTTGGATATAGAGGCAAATTCATGGATAAAATTTTGATCAAATATTTTTGTCCTTTTTTTAATATGAAAAACTGCTTTTAATTGTTGGTAAGTTAATTTACCCAGAAAGCTACAGAGATATAACTTTAAAAATAGTTTACATTTTGTAAATGTTGACATCAAATCTCCAAGAGCTTTGAACAAAGTGATATAGACAGGGATTATGAATGTAACATTGATATGGAGTATCAGTTATACAAACTGAAATGCAGAAATCAAATCCAAGCCTTACAAAACAGATGAAACTGTTGGAGCTGCCTAAGACAAAGATTTATGCTGCCATCCAGAAGAGGGAAGCCCCTTTTATATATTAGAAGGTGAAAGGTAAGGAGCCAACGAAGAAGCAGTGGACAACCACCATTTAAATACTGAAGGATGGCTCATTTGCTTAGCTAGGTAAGTGTGAGTAAATTTGGGAAAGGTAGAGACAAGTAGAAGAGCTGTTTCTAAATGGTGTCACAATGCAAGGAAGTGATGCAGTATACAGAATGCTGCCAATTACACTATTAATCATGAAAGTTTTCATTGGTTATGCATCACATGGGGTTCAACATCAGTTCAGTAGAGGACTCCCAGACTTGCAGTAATTTATAGACTCTCTGCTCTTTAGGAAATGGCTGGAGCTGGCAACCTTTGGGGGCCAATGGACATATTTGGAATTTGGAAAACACACCGTGAATCTCCCATAAAATCACAATGTTTGTTCACAAAACACCCATTTATCAGAAGGCAAGTTGATGACATTGCTCTAACAGAAAGATTCCCAGGAAGTCTTCTGTATGCTCCTGACATTAGATACTGAAAAGTTCTGTACTAAGATTTCTTCGGCCCTGATATTTACTAAAAGGCAAACCAGTAATAATTTCCTCATGCAAAGCAGTCACAAAGGATAGTTTTCACTCACTGCCACCTCTTGTATTAATACAGAAAATAAGGAGTAAATCTGTATTTTTAATTTACTTGTGTTTTTTGTTAAAGGAAGATTTGTGTGTATATTTGATAACAAAAGTATAGAAAACAGATCGATAATGTCAGTTCTGTTTTACCCCTTGTCTTTAAATTTAAAAATTCAGAAAATTCTTGTTTTAACAAAAACCTGCACAATATTTAAGTACTATTCATTAACTGTTTAATCTATAAGGATCTTTCTGCAATAATTGTCACTGATTATCTATTGAGTATTCTGGCCAAAATAAGTAAATATGATTAGACATTGGATATAACACCTGTTCCCTACCTACGCTAATACTCGTGTTAGTCCCAACTATAATCAGTGCAGCTTTCATTAGTCCTATGCATTAGTGTTATTGCAACTTTCAGTATTTTCCAGCCAGAGTCCATGATAATTGGACAATTATTGGAATTGCAACCAGAACACTGGAAACCTGAACTGTTACTAACTATGAGCATGAAATTTTAACAAAGGTTGCAAATAATTAAGAAGCAAATCACGAGGAAATATGGCCAGAGTTATAATACTACATCAGTGTTAAACCAAAATATAGGAAGGAAAGGAAGATATTTGCAAGAGATGGATAAAGGTGTATATGGCATCTCCCAAGGCTTTTAGGAACAACTTTGGGCAACTTTGTTGGTGGTGGTGAGCCAAGCACTGCAGAATTTATGAAGAGCCTATTAGGAAGGTATCTGGGAAACCACTTTCATTTTTCAGCAATCATGATCACTGTAGGCTGCAAGAAATGGGGGGGGGGGGAGATGATCTGGAGGTCACACACAGTTTTGAAACTGAAGATTGTACCTCAATTACAGATTTTAATAAAAATAAATACCTGTTTAAATATTCCAACAAAAGTTAGGGAGACTTGGGAATGCATTATTTGATGGCATGCTATCCATTTGAAACATGACTCTTAATCTGTAATTATTTCTTTAAAAACAAAAGTGAGAGAGACACACAGAGAGAGGGGGGGAACCAAAAGTGCTGATTGCATTTATTCTCTGCATGGATGGTCCTCAGTAAGGGCCTGCAAGTATTTAACACACCAACCAGTTCAACATTCAAATCACATTCAGATCAGTGAAATGTTAATCCTTCTTCTATATAAACAAAAATAATAATAATATCAACAACAAAAAAAGACAAATCTGTGAGAGAAAAAAAATAAGTTAACAATGGCAGAATGCTACCAAGACAACATCATAAAATCTTAACTGAAGCAGGAATTAATTCACATCACATCGTAGCAAAGCTCATCACAGACTTTCAAAAATAATATTGCTGTTTTATTATTAAACTTTGGGTTTGGGTGTCAGGTTTTCCAGTATGATGTGCTAATTAAAAATGCTAATGCAGAAGCATAAGACCCCACCTGGTAAGATAATATATATATATTAATTCCTCTGAATATTACTGCTGACTAACACCCATCTGCTGGGGATCAGCTTCGGCTTCATCTTCTTCCACATCTGCATGATATTCTTCAAAGGTATCGTCTACATCTGGAAGCCCCAATAGCTATTTGTAAAGAAGGAAGAAATAAACTGTAAGTTTAATATGAAAAAATCACATGAGAAATATAATTTATATTCTAGAAAAAATCTGAAAAAATATTTAAAATGAAAAGACATGTCAAGTAAGTGGCATTGGTATAATACTTTTCATATATAAGAAGCAAAATTAGGCTAGATTCTATTTAAAGGCACTTCCAGACAAATAGCCCTTTCTCTCTCTGAATCTAGCTTTCAGTACAATGAAAATGAAAACTATTTTGACCAGTTTTTGATGTCTTTTGAATAGAAAGATGAAAGACAACATAGAACTGGCTAAGTCACAAGTGGCAGAAAAGCATCAGATAGAACCATGAACTTGCTCGCAAATTTTTAACATCTATTAGTGAATCAAGGTTTCTAAAATCTAACTCTGTTTCATCCGTTTCAGAAAAAGCTAGCTAGGAAAAAAAGCAAAGGTAGCATGATGACAGATGTTTGCAAGAAAACAGATAATTTGATAAGTGACTAGTTACAGCATAATTTTATCACCGTGCTTCATCTCATTCAATGTCAGAATTTCACCTGATACAAAGAATTTTAAAATATTTCTTATTCAGAAGCTGCAGCCAGTTCTAGTTCTCAGATATTCTAAGTAAAATACTTAAGTCTGCAAACACACTTGTTTGTTCTTAATTTGTACATTCAAGGATATTTTACAAATCTCCATATGAAAAAATGCAACAGACTTATAAACCTATTGCTGCTCAATTATTGATAAATCTGAAGGGACATTTATTTATTTATTCGGCGGAGCTGGCAGCAGAGTCAGACAGCGATGAGGCTGAGGAAGAACATGGGCCAGTCCTGGAGGCTGGGGAAGACCCGGATGAGGGCTCGGCAGAGATGGGCCAGGCCATCGGGGAGCGATGTGCAGACTCCAGAGCCTCCAGAGGCTGATAGTAGAGAGGCAGAGGAACAGGAGGAGCCTATTCCTAGTGCACGTATGAGAAGAGCTGCCAGAAGGCAAGAGCAGCTAAAGCAAAGAGGAGGGGCGTTGGTCCTACCTGATACGCTCCTTCTCGTTGTGTGGAGACAGCAGCCAATGTGGGTAGCACTTGCCCAATCAGCTGAAGGACTGAGTCAGCCAATAATGTTAAAGCCCGCCCTTGTTGCCGGGCAGGTCCAGCTTTTGATGAAGGACTATAATGGCAGACTCGGCGTGTGGCCAGGCAGAAAAGAAAAGCCCAAGAAGGAAGACAACAACCCTGGGAAGTAAGGAAGTTGGAGGGAAAGCGTACAAAAGACCGTCCGGCCATGGAGTCCGAAGTGCATCGATGGCTTCAACCTGAGGTTCCGGGTACCGGGCAAAGAAGCGGGGCAACTGAGCATTGACATGCGTCGCAAATAGGTCCACAACTGGGGCCCCGAACAGAAGAACCAGGCGTCGAAAGATCCTGGGGTGAAGATGCCACTCTGCATTGTCCACCTCCTGACGGCTCAGCCAATCTGCCTGGGTGTTGGCGACACCTGAAATGTATTCCGCCCGGAGAGATTCGAGGTGACGTTCCGCCCAGAGGCCGAGTTTCATGGACAGAGACAGCAGGGCCTTGGATCTGGTGCCGCCCAACTTGTTGAGATGTGCCTTGGCCGTCACATTGTCTGTCAATACAAGCACATGGAACCCTGAAACAAGATGGCGAAACGCCCGGAGAGCCAGGAAGACAGCTTGTAATTCCAACCAGTTGATTGGACGAAGAGAGTCCGTTGCACTCCAAGTCCCCTGGGCTAGCTGGCCTTGGCAATGGGCACCCCAGCCCTGGAGACTGGCGTCGGAGGTTACCACCACCCGCTGGGGTTCTAGAAAGAGACAGTCTGCTGATATCGCCAGGGATCACCACCACCGGAGTGACCTGAGAACTGAGGATGGAACGGGAACAGGCCTGGTTGACGTGCCCTTGCCTGATTTCTGTAAAGGCAAGAGAAACCACTGAAGTTCCCTGGCGTGTAGCTGTGCCCAGGGAACAATGGCAATGGCCGAAATCATCTTTCCCAATAACTGAGAAAGGAGATAAGGGGAACTAGACCTACAGCCTTCAATCTTAGTTACCAAGTCCCGTAAACTATTCTGGCGGTCAGCGGAAAGGAACACCTTACCCTGCACAGAATCAATTAGGGCCCCGAGATGAACTAGAGAAGTGGAGGGAACAAGGTTGCTCTTTTCTAGATTAACAGAAAAGCCATGGGCAGCTAACGTCTCCAGAGTTAACTTAATATCTGAAACAGCTTGGTGAGCAGAAGAAGACAACACCAAGATGTCATCTAAATAACATAAAAGTCTAACAGACTGAACCCGGAGGGAAGCAGCCAAAGCCGCCAATACCTTTGTAAAGGTACGGGGGGCAGAGGAGAGCCCAAAGGGTAACGCCCTATACTGATAATGAACCCCCCCGTAACAAAACCTTAAATATTTTCTATGAGAAGGGAGAATAGGGATATGCAAGTAGGCTTCAGTCAGGTCGATTGAAGAAAGGAGATCGCCCCTCCTAACACCGTCAAGAATGGATTTCAACGATTGCATCTTAAATTTACGGTACACAACATACCGATTTAACTGTTTTAGGTCCAGAATGGGTCTCCACCCCCCCCGAGGACTTAGGGACCAGGAAAACCCGGGAATAGAACCCCAACCCGACTTGGTCGGAAGGGACAGGTTGGATAGCCCTGATGGAAAGGAGATGCTGAACCGCAGCGTCCATACACGCTCTTTTCTCAGGATTACGACAAATCGGACAGCAAACAAAGGTACTCGGGGGAGGGGAAAGAAATTCGATGGCCAAACCAGATTTTAAGGTAGCCAAGACCCAATTATCAGAAGTAGACTTCTCCCACACGGCGACAAAAAGAGCCAGTCTGCCGCCAATGGGTGGAGTCGCGATGCAATCAGCGCTGGCGCCGGTAGGAACGACCTCCTCCCCCTCAAAAGGGCCGCCTGGATACAAAGGGTTTCCCTCGAGATGACCTATCTAAGGCGCCCTGCTGCCTGCCCACGCTAGTGTAAGGCCTAGAAGAAAAAGAGGAAGAAGATCTCGCACCATCAGAACCTCGGAACTGAGACCGAGGGGTATAAGGAGCAAACCGGGACTCTCCCCGTCGAAACGCCGCTGCCAACACTTTCTTCTTATCTCTGGTTTCGGTGAGGAATGGCTCCAGAGCATCACCAAAAAGACGGGACCCCCCAAATGGAACCGAAGCCAGACGCCACTTATGGCGGGCATCAGCTTGCCAGTGACAGAGCCAGACAAGTCGACGAGCAGCGACTGTGGAAGCCATTGCCTTGGAAGCGAAGCAAGCAGCGCTCAAGGTAGAGTCCGCTGAAAACTGCAAGGCAGTGACAATTTTATTTAAATCTTGCCGGGTCCTCCGGAGACAATTTCTCTTGAAGCTGGCGAAGCCAAAGTAAAGTAGTACGGTTGAAGAATGAGGCGGAGGAAGCCGCCCTAATAGCCCAAGCAGAACTTTGATGTGCTCTCTGAAGGACCAAGTCCGAACGACGTTCATCCGGTCGAAGGCCTTCATTCGGATCACCCGGAACGTTGGCGTTGGGCAGGAGGGCGGCAATAGGGGCGTCAACAGACGGCACCTGAAGAAGAGAGTCTAACTCGCTAGCCACCTGAAAGTTCTTGCAGTCGTTGGAAGAAAGCGACGGGACCAAACCTGGGGAAGACCACTGGTGTTTTACCACATCGACAAACAGGGGAGGAGTCGGGATAGAGGTAACAGGTCTGGCCGGCTCAGCAAACATGGGATCCCAAGCCTCGGAGGCTGGAGCTGGATCCACCGCTGGTGAAGACAAATGAGCAGTGTTAACGGCCTTAAATAATAAGGACTTAAATAAGGCTTGTGGAAAAAGTCCAGAGAAAGACGGTTGATCTTGAGGTAAATTTTCATCGTCAGATAAAGCAGAGTCAGAATAGTCCACATCAGTCAAGGCCGAGGGATGGCTTGAGTGGGAACAAGTCGGAGAATCAGGAGCCCGAAGTCGAGTTTCCTCAGCAACCAGTCGTTCCGGGGAAGCGGATGAATTTGAACGCACCGATTCTGGACGACTGCGAGATTGGTCTCGTGCCGCTAAAGACCTCTGCACAGCAGTTTCGATAAGAAGCTGGAGTTGCTCAAGTTGAAGATGTTGACAGGAAACCGTCGCTGCCGGAGAAGAATTCGCAGGAGCAGAAGCAACAGGATGCACAACCTCTGGAAGAGGGGCCACCGAAGTAGAAGGAGCAGAAGTACCCCACAAATCCGAAGTCGAAATAGTCACCGGGCAATCCCTCAATGACAACTGATCCGGCATATCAGGCCAAGCAGGAGACTCAAGAGGCAGATTGTCAGCTACTGGAGTGGGAGCCACTCTCTTCGCAGCAATATTAGCGCTCGCTTTTTCGCAAAGCTTTTGTAAGACTCTGTCTCTGCGTTTCTCCGATTTAGATGCCCCGCTGTGCTTGTGGCCCTTATGGTGATGTTGATGAGGCTCAGCCGAAGGCAAAGAGTCAAAGAGCAAGTTCCTCGGGTCTATCCTGATAGCCAGAATGAGACTGGTCTTGAGCAGCAGTACTGGCCGAACGGCCATGTTTAGTTTTTGCCAGTGCTTTTGGCATGGCTGCAGTGTGTCCAGAAAGAGCCTCAATTAAGACTGGGGGGGGCGCGAAAAACTCCATCAATTATCCCCTGTCAATACAGTAATTCAACAAAGGGAGCATCAAATAACTCCACAAGTATCACGCTATAATAGGTAGTGGGGACGTAACAAGACCCCTCAAATAAATTTTTATTCCAGAGATTGGAAAAGCTGAGTATAGGGGGCGCAAACGCTCCACAATAAATGTCCAAATGTCAGTTTATAGGAAAGATGGCACAGCTCCAGGCAAAAGTCAAAGTCTAATTCACCAAAATGGCCGCCGCCGCAATTATCAATGGCAAAATGGCGGGCGACTCAAGCGAGGCCAGGAAAACCCTGCAGTAACTGAG